CATTTCACAAATGTTTCACTGATACTGTAATTGAACTAATAAGCCCCTAAAGGCTACATACTTGAATTTTCATGGACTGTCTACACTCTAAATAATCAGTTCCCTGTCACCAATTGTTTCAATTTTCCTTTCTCACTTACTCTCACCTAACAGTAGCATTTTATATTGGGGCATTGACAATCCTGTGCAGCACTATAATTTTATTATTTGCCAAATGGCCATTCTTGACAGCAGAGACCAGAGCCCAGATGTAATTGGTGCAACCTTAGTCTCAAAAAACAAGTGTGAATGCCACCTAAAAGCAGAACGTACTTGCCTTCAGGGACAGATCAGGTATTCTCTTGCAGCTATGATGGTCTCAGCTCATTATATATTCATGCGCAGGCAAACTGCCAAGTTTTATGGACAGGTGAGCAGCAGGTTTTGTCCACTGCCAGGACATTCCAGGCTCCATACTTAAAAGGTATAGGAACAGCACTTGACTTCTGCAACCTAGGAGCATCATTCAACCTCTGCTCCTCACCTCCAAGTACCTTAGAGACGTCAGCAACCAGACAAAAAGCAGCACCACAGTTCACTGATGCCTCCCTGGAGGTTATCCTGAAGGCAGTCCAGGAGAAAAGGGGGGTTCCTTGCTCGAGGGACAACAACAACAGGCCACCTTGACTGATAAAGGCAGCCTTGGTAGCTCAAGGAAAATTGGCTCCAGTTCCATAAAGGCACGAGTGATCTGCTGTGCTCCACCAGGGTATGTAGCACTGTCTACACAATGCATCATGCTCCTAGGAATGTGAGTTAGCACTGCCAATTTTCCATTGCACAGGAGACACACAAGACCCTCATCAGATGTCATCGTCTGTCACTTAATTGCAGCTGCCAATGTAACAAGAATTGTACCACAGTGATACTGGCTCTCGCTCATCATCTAGAGTTCACATTTAAAATTTAAAAGGAGATATACAACACACAGCAGCTCACACATCACCAGCTCAATGATCTTCACATCTGGAAGAACATCCACATTTGATAGCTTTTTATCAAAGGCTTGTAGAGGACGAGGACACAATCACAAAACATAACTATGAGGTGTTCATCCCAAACCTATGTCAGGCAAAATATAATATAATGCTTCATTGATTCACATCAACTCTAGCTCTTTGACAATACTAAACTACCTTTCAATCAGAACCCCTAAACTCCTAAGTTCCCAATACTACATTCGTCTTACTATTAATAGACACAGAATCACAACTCTAGAGATTGACATCTTTCTTTGTATATTTCAATGCAGACACAGTGCTTCTGTGTCCATGTTAATGCCTCTTATTGATTCTCTGCTTTGCAGGAGAAGAACATGCATAAAAATAGCACGAATGCGTACAGATAAGGAGGATATGCCTGACTCGGGCTCCTCACCCTATTGAGAGGGAGGCCAGTGAGCTGCCAACAGATCCAGGGGATCGTGCGTATGCTGAAAGAGAGAATGAATATCTACAGCCATTAAGTGAGAAACACTCCACACAGCTACTCCCAGGTGCACATCAAGCACTAACATCCTAATAAAACCTTGGGCAAGGGTGGTGGTTCGCAAGTCTAACAAACCTTGATGCTTTTTAATGCTGCTTCCAGAACATATTCTAAAGCCAGGATCTATAGAAGAGCCTTAACCCCCATGTCAGAGACATGCAGATTGGAGCATAGAGCACAGATGTTTTCCCAAGTTCTGTCTGATGTTGTGGCTCCAGCATGCAAGTACGTGGCTGCCTCCATGGACCTGGATATGGCTGCTGTAAAAACTGGTCCAGCAGAACAATCAGTATCTAGCAGATATTTTCAGGGACCTTTGCTCTATCTTCGGAACCATGAACAAAATTCATTCACTGGCTAGGTGAAAGGGAGCTTGACCTTCTTCCAGGTACCCAATCCCTCAATGGATCAGGCAGATTCTGTTGCACACCAACAGGGAACAGGAATGGCAGCCAGGCATCCGGTGATTGTAATCACAGGTCACTGCAAGGATGCCCTGCTTCACCACCTCCCCTCCGCCAGGAGCCAAAACACCTCAGCAGGTCAGACCAAGGAGATTGCAACTATACAAGAGATACCCAGGAGCCGAAGCCCTCTAATCTGCAGATCCCCAGGTGACACCCCCCAGTCATCTGATGGAATGAGGGAAAACAGCCAGCAGGTTTCCTCCAACTCAGCTCTATCAGCTAACGTGGCAGCAAGGCGTAGCTGTACAGACAGAAGGATAAATGAACACTGAATTCCCTCTGGTGCCAGGTGTCAACCATCTATATAACATTATACTTAACAAAAATTTAACAAACACTTTGTCCGGCAGTCCTGTAATCTCTATATCTGTTAAGGCTCCAGACTATTTATATTTTCCTGAGGGGCACTGACTAGCCTAGCCACTCAAGCATATCATGTGCAACAGTGCAAAGCCTGTTGTTACTGCTGTCCTCTGGGAGGAACAAAATTTCTAGGAAGTGGGAACTTCATTTCCATGGTTGGGTTTCAGGACTGAATCAGCATTAGTTTGGCTAAACTAAACAACCCCTTCAGGGCATCAATGTCTTTGAGTCATTAATGGCTCAGAGTTCTGAATGTCCACATATGTTAACATAAGGTCACTTTCAAATCTAGCTGTCATCAGGTTCTGTAGGACCCATCTGGTTTGTCTCACTACTGCCCCGACTTCTTTAACATCCTCATCATCATGGTTGCTTCTCTTAGCATCTCCGTCAGACTCTTCTTCTTCCTCATTTAAGGAAGGAAAATCTCTCTACCTAACTTCTAAATTCTCTCCTAGTCATTGAGCTTTGCTGTGCAAGATGCAGCAAACAATCATTAATCTGGAGATCTTGTGCAGTGCATACCCGGGTGCTCATGTCAAATGATCCAGACTACAGAGGCTCATCTGCAGAAGACCAGCTGTCTGATCAATGATGGCCCTAACAGATGTGCGGGCAGCATTGTAGCACTGTTCAGTAGCAGTCAGAGGGTTGCTCAATGGGTCATTAGTCCACCTTCTCAGAATATTCCTTGTAACCACAAGACTGCTCTGAAGACATGCAGAGGGCAAACATTCGTGAAACCCCGGAGTTGTGTAGAATTGCAAACATCATGGCAGTTCCCTGGACAGTGGGAACACAACTGCAGGAATTGTTATCTGTGGTGACAAATGAAGTGGACACTGAGGGATTGAAATTCTTCTTCAGGAATCTGGCAAGGAGGCTCTTGCAGTCAATGGCCTTTTGTACGTGAGGGAAACCAGTGCTGGCTGAAAATCTAACCATTCACGCACCTTAGTTCTATGGGTTCATGTTTAGCTGAAAAAAAACACTGCATTGCTACTTGTGAGGGCCATTGATGAATGCACTTGTGGGCTGTCAACTGGGAGATATTACACATATCCCAACTTGAGGTTTGAAAGGAACCTGTGATTAGTAAGTTCAATGCTGTTGTGTACCACTTATAAAGCGTTTTCGTCTCACTCAGTCCTCTTTCTGTGAACCTTTTCAGTTGAGCCTCCTTTCCGGTCAAGACCAATTTTCCATTCCATTTCAGACCCCTTTCCAGTTGAGCCCAGCTTGGCTGCCCAGTCAAAATTGCTGACGTCACCCTGTGTGGTCGACTCGCATGGACAGGTTTAAGAGCCCAATCACCCTTCGGCTCCTTCATTAAGCATTTAACTATTGCAAGCAAAGCCATCCATATATGATTTGAGACTTTTCATAAGCTGAAGATATGGAGAGGCTTCATTGCTTACAATGCAAATGTCTGCTCAAGGTAGTGCCTTAGTTCAGAATGAGCCAAGTAATGGAACAAGTTTGTACTCACTGGAGCTTAGAAAAGATAATGTATTCCTCCAGCTACATTGCCACATATATATATAGCCATGTTTGAGAACACACGTTTCTTGTTTTTGGCTAAGAAGATTGTGTCAGTGAATTTCATTCCTGGAGTTTCCTAGCAAAGTAACACTAGCCACTGAGAAGTGCCGTGTATGCTCACCAGAATGATACCTGAACTCCAAAGGTGATTATACAAAGAGGCTAGAGAGTTTCAGTGAGGATGTGGGGGTGTCGGTATTGGACTGGGGTGGACAAGGTCAGAAATCACATGACACCAGGTTATAGTCCAACAGGTTTATTTGAAAACACAGGCTTTCCGAGCCTCGCTCCTTCTTCACCTGAAAGCTGCTTCTGGTCACCCAGTTATAGGAAAGATATTATTAAGCTGGAGGAGGTTCAAAAGAGATTTACTGGATGTTGCAGGGTATGGAAGGTTTGAATTATAAAGAAAGGCTCGATAGGCAGGGACCTTTATCACTGGGGCGTAGGAGGTTGACAGATGACCTGGCAGAAGTTTATAAAATAACAAGAGGTATAGAAAGAGTTAACAGTAGTTGTCTTTTCCCTAGAATGGGGGATTTCAAGACTAGGGGACACATTTTTAAGGTCAGAAAAGAGAGATTTAAAAAAAACACGAGGAGTAAATTTTTTTCTTACACAGAGGGTGGTTTGCATGAATGAATTTCCTGAGTAAGTGGTGGATGTGAGTACAACTACAATGTTTAAAAGTCATTTGGATAAGTGCATGAATAGGAAAGGTCTGGAGGGATATGGGCCAAGAGCAGGCAAGTGGGACTAGTTTAGTTTGGAATTATGTTTGGCATGGACTAGTTGGACTGCAGGGTCTGTTTCTGTGCTGTATGACTCCATGACTCTATCACAGAAAAATCTTAATCAGTTAAATAGTTTTGACACCAAGTTTCAACAATGGAACTTATCACTATATTACAGACACAGAAGGGACAGAAGAAAAATAATTGTGTCCTTACCGAGATCTCTCTAAATTAAGCAAAGGGAAACGAAAAAAGTCAAGTAGGCAACTAAACACACCCACAATTAAATGTTGTATAGTACTGTACTGCTTCTTTGTAGCTTTTTAACATACTCACCCTGCTGACTCTTAGACTTTAGATATCTCACCTTTGAGAAGAAATTTTGCTGACCAGGATTGTATCCTTTAAGTGCTTCATGAAGCTTCTGCAAACACTGTACAACCTTTCTCTGGTGGTCATCATCCTTTAGGTCACCTTGTCTGACCAATAATTCATAGTGCTCCAAAGGTCCTTCAACATTTGATGCAAAGGCAGAACCTTTCAACTGAAATCCTGTATCAGGTGCAGCACTGTTTGTTGCTGGAAGAGCATAACCTAAAAAGAATTCATAAGCCAAAATTATTACGCGAATCGTCAATTTTTCAGTTACAGTCAACTGAGTGCTCCATATTTTTGAAATTGACAACACGCCAGTTAGTTTTAAGATTACCCCAGTCAAGTTAATCAAACCAGTGTGCAACACTGAATATCCAGTACAGGACAAGCAGATGTCTAATGATACTTATTACAATTTCTGCTGCTGTTTAACCATCACCACATTGCCTTCTTTTTAAAATTTTCCAACAACTAGAACATCCAGAAGAAAAGAAAAGACTAAAACTTGCAAATTATATGTAATGGTCCAACTTATCTTCTATATGTCAAAACAGAAGTACAACCAAGTATTTGTGTTTTTTTTTCTCCTCTGGACTTGTATTTATATGGCATTTTTAATATATTAAGATGTCCCAAGGTGTTTCACAGGGGTATTATGAGACAAAATATGACACTGAGCCACACAGGCAAGAGCTATATGAGGCAAAAATGAACAAAGTTTAACCAAACATGTAGGTTTTAAGGAGCTTCTTCAAGGAGGTAAGCAATGTAAACAGAAAAAGCATATAGGGCAAGAATTTCAGAGTTTGGGGCCAGGGAGCAAGGCATGTATACCATGCCTAAAATCAGAGATAGACAAGAGGCCGGAATTTGAATCATTTTGTGAGGCTTATGGTTGCAGAGAGGGATGAGGCCACAGTGGGATTTGAAAACAAGGACAAGAATTGGGAACCAGGCAGGACCTGGGGCACCAGTATATCCGCACTGCTTCCTCCCTACCAACACCTCAGCTGATCAGAGTTGAATCGCCAATCAAACTGATCTCTTTCTTCCTGTAATGTAAAATGTTTGAAATTGAAAACATTTGAAATTTTGCCATCTTGCCTCTATCCTAATGAATTCAAGAATGAGAATTTTAAAATCAAGATATTATTGAACCAATGTAGGTAATCAAGCATGAGGTGAAGAGTGACCAGGATTTAATGCACATAAGGCATGAGCAGCAGAGACCTGGATAACCTTAAGTCCAAGGTAGAACACAGAGTGCCAGACAGGAGTACTTTGAGCAGTCAAATTTGAAGGGAACAGAAGTTCAGCAATAGATCAAAACTTAGGCAGAGCCAGCGGCAAGCAATATTTTGGAGGTGGAATTAAGCAGTCTTAATGATGCTGTGGATGCAATTGAAAGCTCATATCCAGGTCAACCATAATATCAAGCTTGAGTCCAGCCTCAGATATTTGCCAGGGAGATGAACGGAGTAGGTAACATGGATTGAGAGTTTATGGCAGAAACCAAAGACAAACATGGCTTTAGTCTCCCAAATATTTAACTGGAGAAAATTTCTGATAAGTATGGAATTCAGATAAGGAGCTTGACAAATTAGAGAGAGTACAGACATTGACAGTCAATGGTGAGGTGAAGCTGAACATCTTAAGCACACATATGGAAACTGACATTGTATTTTCAAATGATATCTTATGCAGATAAGAAACAGAAGGGTGCCAAGAATTGATTCTTGGGGGAGACAGGAATTGACTACATATTAGTAGAAAGAGAAGTCATTATTCCCTGACAAGATTTAGATAAAAACGGAAACAAACAAGTCCTACCCATACAGCTAAATGATCATGGAGGGGCATTCAGGGAGGATGGTGTGATTAATATTGATAAAGACTGCGGACAGGTAGAGGAGAATAAGGAGGGATAGTTTACTTTTGCCATGTTGAATTCCAAGCAAAATAGTTTTACAAAGGGGAGGTCGAACCCCTCTGATAATTAAACCGAAACCCAAGCCCCCGATTTGTTATGGCAGCAGTAGAGGTTCCCTTCTAATAATTAGACCCGAAGCACCCAGCGAAGCTTGCCTCACATTAACAGTCTGTTAAAAAGAATGGTTAAATGAAAAAAAAAAAAAAATCGCTGATATTCACTCCATAAGTAACAAGTACAAATTTATTTATTTAACCCTAACAGTGAACAAACTTACAGAATTACTAACAAACTGAACAATTCTCCCTTAACGACTAACTATTCCCTAACTGAACTAAATTCTACTGGTATGCTGTTCCAAAACACACAAGTCCCACTTATATCAACCCAAGTAATAAGAAAATAAATTAAAACTTAGTCTCGCTACAATTCTTCTGCTGTTGAAGTCATACACACCTTTCTTCCGCTGATTCGGCTGTGAGAGATATTTTCTCTGTGAAGTCTTCTGTGAGGACTCTTAGCTAGAAATGCTGTGGTACCTTTTATGGATAGATGGTGCTTTCTCAGAGAGCTTAGCAATTTGAGCTCGATGCTTATTTCTCAGATGGTGGTTCACTGTCATACTGATTGTCAAAAACCCTCTCCTTATATACCTTGGATGACATATCAATTTTCTTACAATAGCATTGGTCTGAGGTTGTGAACACCATCTGATTTAAATTAAATTGGCTTTCAATTGCTAAATGCTTAGTTTAAATTAACTGGCCAGCTAGTTGGCAAAACATCAAAACAAGTCTAAGGTTTCCAATCACACAGCCAGTTGATACATGTTTCAATTTCAGAACTGGCTGTACATCTTCAGCTACATACAGAAACATTTTTTTATAAATCACTAAGCTTAGAAAAGCACTTTCTCTCTTAAAGGAACCACGCACTCTTCGTTTTTTTACAAACAAATTCTAGCTTCCTGCCTTCCAATTCACAATTACTCTACACAACTTTGTAACAATAGACACAGATTTTGGAAGGCAACAATACATTCAAAGGGCAACTCCAGTTAATAACAGGAAGCGAGAACTCACCACCAAATGCAAAACATATGAAGCAGAAGGAGGCCATTCAATGACATCATAGCTGATCTGACTGGAACCACAAATTCTCATTTCTACCCACCTCCAATAATATTTGCCTCCCCATACCTTGTCTGGAAAATATTCAAGAAGTCTTCTTCTGCCATATTTTCAGGAAGAGAGAGAGTTCCAAAGACACATAGCCTTCTGAGAAAGAATTTCACCTCATCTCCTTTAAAAGTAAGGGGTGATCCATTCGAAACAGAGACTTCTAGTTCTAGATTCATCCATAACAGGAAACTTCTCCATTCCTACCCTGTCAACGGCCCTCAAGAATGTATGCTTTTTTAAGCAAGTCAGCGCTTGCTCTTCTAAACTCCAACAGATATAAGCCTGTCTCTGTCCAGCCTGTCCTGGTATTAATCTAAACCCTTCTCCAAACTGCCTCCAGTGCATTTACATTATTGATTAAATAAGGGTCAGTTAGCTCAGTTAGCTGGACGGCTGGTTTGAGTGACCCCAACAGTGGGGGCTCAATATCCATGCCAACTGAGGTCACAATGGAGGTTCCGCCTCTGAACCTCACCTTCACATGAGTTGTGGTGACCCTCAGGTTAAACTCACCACCAGTCATCTCCCTCTATTGAAATAGCAGCCCTATGATCGTCTGCGACTATGATGACTTTATCTTTACCTAAATGAGGTATTCAATATTATGCACTACTCCAGATGTGGTCTCACCAGTGCCCTGCATAAATGAAGAATAACGTCCCTTGCAAATACATGGTAACGTTTCCACTTACTTTCAGTACGTGGAAACTAACCTTCTGCAATTCATGCACATGAATTCACCAAGAATTTCTGCACCTTAGAGCTCTGGAATCCCTCATCATTTAGATAAACATGCTGCTTCTTTATTCCTCCAGCCAAAATGAAATTTCTACATTTTTCTCATTATATTCCATTCTCCATTCCTTTGCCCACTCAACCTTATATTTCTCTGTAGCCTCCTTATGTCCTCCTCTCAACATAGATTGGAAATTATCTTTATCTTCAGCAAATTTAGCTAACATGCCTATACTCTTTTCTTCCCAGAAAAAAATGTCTATAAGTTACTAAAAAAAAAATCAACCTCTGAAGCAGGCTGCGACTTAAGCCAAGGTCTCCTGGCTCAAAGGTAGAGATACTACCACTGTGCCACAAGAGCTCCTTCCTACTGTACCTGGCATTTCCAGGCAGTCTTCCATCCAAGTACTAACCAGGACTGAGTCTGCTTAGTTTCCAAGATCACACAAAATCAGGCATTTCAAGCGCTCATCCAGATAGTTTTTAAAGGTTATGCGATTTCCCACATCTAGTGATCTCCCAGATAATGCATTCCAGATTCCCACCACTATCTGGGCTGGGAATCCCTCTGAACTTCATCCCTTTCATCTTAAAATTATGCCCCTTTGTTATGGACCCTTCAACTAATGAGAACAACTGCTTCCTATCCACCCTACCCATGTCCCTCAATCTTATTCACCGCTATCAGGACCATCCAATCAGCTTTCTCTGCTCTAAAGAAAATAACCTGGACCATCCAGCCTCTTTGCGTAGCTAAAATCCTCCATCCCAGACAACATCTTGGTGAACCTCTTTTGCAACCCCTCCACAGCAATCACATCCTTCCTATAGTGTGGTGACTAGGACCGCATAAAGTACTCCAGCTGTGGCTTAACCAAAGTTTGGTATAACTCCAACATACCCTCCCTGCTCTTATAGTCACATGCCACAACTTATAAAGGGAAGTAAAAACCGAAAGAACTGCGGATGTTGTAAATCAGGAACAAAAACAGAAGTTGCTGGAAAAGCTCAGCAGGTCTGGCAGCGTCTGTGAAGAAAAAAAATCAGAGTTAACGTTTCGGGTCTGGTGACCCTTCCTCAGAACTGATGGTAGCTGGCGAAACTGATGTTTTCCCAGCTACCATCAGTTCTGAGGAAAGGTCACGGGACCCGAAACGTTAACTCTGATTTTTTCTTCACAGATGCTGCCAGACCTGCCGAGCTTTTCCAGCAACTTCTGTTTTTGTTATAAAGGGAAGTGTCCTATATAACTTCTTAACTACTCTATTAACCTGTCCTGCTGCCTTCAGGGATTTGTGGACAAGTGCCCCAAGATCAATCTGTTCCTCTGAGCTTCTGAACGTCCTGCCATTCACTGAATCTGCACACCTATA